GTGTTGTTGGAGTGGTGGGGGGAGGGGGAGGGGGTGCGGGAGCCGGAGGCCGGCGCCCCCACAGGGCCTCCGAGCCCGTGGTGTCCCCAGAGCTGCAGAGAGGCCCCCAGGCGTTTGCAGACCAAGCCCGTGCTGGCCTCAGTGGGACGGCAGGGTGTGCCCTGTTTCTCACCTGGTATTTGGCAGTCGGGCGCGTTCTTCCCACTTCCGCAGCTGAGTCTCGGTGCTGCCCAGGCGCGGGCCTGCTTCCCACTGCATTTGGTCTCAAACAGCAGCCTCGTGGACGTCCCCGCCTTGTCCTGGTGAAGCCAGGTGTCCCTACGCCCCGGACCCTGAAACGCCACCGTCCCCTGGTGGTCCTTTCTCCATAGGCAGTTCTTGTGGAGCTTTCGACTTCCGGGGGAGGCGCAGAAGATCGACCGCATGATGGAGGCGTTCGCGTCCCGCTATTGCTTGTGCAACCCGGGCGTCTTCCAGTCCACAGGTCGGCAGCGCTGGGGCCCGGGGCCGGCGAGCCTCTGCCCGGGGGTGGGGGGGGCCGCCTCTGGCCAGGCGTGCGGCTGAGGGCCCCTGCACCCTCTACCCTCTTGCAGACACCTGCTACGTGCTGTCGTTCGCCATCATCATGCTCAACACCAGCCTCCACAACCACAACGTGCGGGACAAGCCCACGGCCGAGCGCTTCGTCACCATGAACCGTGGCATCAATGAGGGAGGGGACCTCCCGGAGGAGCTGCTGCGGGTGAGCTCCCCGCCCTTGGGGCCCTAGAGCTGGCCCTCATGCCTCGGGAGCAGCGGTGGGCAACGTTTACCATCAGGCACCTGCAGGGTCCCTCGCGGCCCCGGTCCCACCGAGCCCGGTGCCCTCGGGGACACGCGCCACTGCCCGGCCCGTTCGCCCCCGGCTGTGTCCCTGAGTGCGCTGTCCCCTGTGCTCCTCGCAGAACTTGTACGAGAGCATCAAGAACGAGCCGTTCAAGATCCCCGAGGACGATGGCAATGACCTGACGCACACGTTCTTCAACCCTGACCGCGAGGGCTGGCTCCTGAAGCTGGGTGAGTGGTGGCCGGCGGGCGGGCCCCGCGCTCGGAGCCCCCAGCCCTCGGCAGCCAAGGGCCCCGACCAAAGGCAGAACCGCTAGAAGCGAGGGCCGTTGGGCCGAGTCCGCCCACCGTAGCCGGCCGCACGCCCCAGACTCGATGGCTGCCGCTTTGAGCCCTACCCCGTCCGAACGAGGCCCTGCCGGCCATGTCCACGGCAGAGAATAACGCCCGGGCTGCACGAGCGTCCCAGAAAACTGCTCAGTTAGCGTCCAGATAGACCCAAGGCAGTTTTCTGTACCAGAGGCAGGTGCATTTACTGCGAGAACCTGCGTGCCTTTCTCTTGGTTTGGTGTGGCTGATTTTTGATGCGTGGTTTAAATGTGCCTTCTTGTTGTTTTCCTTCTGCCTGTGGCTCCCACCTTTCTGTTCTGTGACGGGCTGTCCCTGCTTGTTCTGCGTTAGGAGGTACGTACCCAGTGGCTTCCTGCCCCTTCCCCAGCTGCTCATTCCTTTCTCAGTTTCTCTCCCCCGTTGGTCTGTGTGAAGCTCTGATCTGTGGCTGCCATTCATCTGACCCCTGTGGCTTTGGACTTGCTGGGGTTAGCTTCATGCAGGGTGCGGCGAATGTGACAGCTACACCCCCGGGCCGGGCGAGGCGTGGCTGGAATGCCAGCCCTTCGGCGCTGGGAGCGCATGGGAATGCGTGTGGGACCGAGCCTGCCCGTCCGTGTCCTTAGGGCCTGAGCAGCCTCGAGCCTGCTGGTCGCCTGCTCCCTCCCCGTACATCACCGGTTGCCTCTCATACTAACCAAACAGCGCATGTTTGCACCACCCCTGGACGGAGTCCGGACGTGTTCAAAGGGCTTCCCAACCACTGACGAAGAAGCAGAGTAGCGTTGATTATTTTCTGGGCAATTTTAGGAATTGGTAGGGTGGTTTTTTGTTTTGTTTTTATTCTGGGGGCGGGGGGATTTCTGCCTTACTGTGACACGAGAGCCTGTGAGACGTGACAGCAGGTACCGACCGGGCATGGTCGCTGTAGAACACGCTGTGAGACACCGGGCCTGAGAGAATCTCCGCGACTTTGTGTTCGTAATCAAGGCGAGGGTAAGGGGCGGGCGTGAAGGCGTGTGCCAAGGCTCGCCGTTCCGATTTGGGGTCTTGCTCTGGCTTCTCTCTGGCTGTGCTGAGGTTTGGGGGAGTTCTAGATAGATCTTTGTCTAGAAACCCAGAGCCATAGCCGTGGACTTGGAGATGCATCTCTCAGGTCACCCCAAACCTGTGGCCCCGGGGTCAGGGCAGAGGGGGGACGTGTCCGACATGCCAGGGAGGGCCCCTCGTGTGACAGCGACAGTGCGAGCCTGCCTGGCAGCTGGTGTGGCCTCGGCACCAGCGGGAGATGCACCTGCTTTGAAAGACAGAACCAAACGAGGGAGACAAAGGCACAGTGGGGCTTGTGTTCCACCTGTGCTCCGGGTGCGCACGTAAGCAGTGCTCAGAGCACCCCCAGGAGCTACGGAGCTGGCAGGGTGCTGAGTGGGTGCCCAAGGGGCCCCCTGCAGCCAGTCGTGGCCTCGGCACGGTGGGGCCCGGGGTCGGCTCCCTCCGAGCTCCGCCGCCACATGAGCGGGTGTGAGGAGAAGTCACGGTGCTGGCGTTCTCGGCACCTGTCACAGAGCTAGGGGTGATGGTGCCGCCCAGAGCTCGGGCCCGCCGGCCAGCGGGTGACTGCCCGGGACCTCCTCCCCAGAGCCCCAGCGAGCCCGCTGCCGTCTCCCTCGGGCCCACGCAGCCTCCGTACCCTCTCCGTGCACAGAGCTGTGGCCGTGCCGAGAGCAGGTTTCCCAGCGGGTGGGTCTGCTCTGCACAGCTGCTGGGCCTGGACACAGTCCTGCCCCCAGGCCGCCTCCCAGGAGTCTTGACGCTGGCCTGGCCTCTAGGGAAAGCTGGTGGGCGTCAGGCTCCGAGGGCCAAGAAGGCAGTCAGTCCGCTGGAAGCTGATGCCGGAGATGTGTTAGCTGGGCCTGGGTTAGCTCTGGGCCCTTATCCAGCACAGGGCAGACACAGGCCTGGACACGGACGTGCTTGGCCACAGGCCTACAAGACAAGCATAGGAGACAAAGTGTGTTCTGTGCACGCACTCAGATAGGAGTGGAGGTCACCATGTGACCTTGCTTGTGTCTCATCATAGACTTGGTCTTAGGCCAGGTGGCACTTTCAGAAGGCCTGGATGCTTTGCAAGAACTAGGAGCATTGTAGTGTTGCTTCGTGATCATCAAGGAAATGCCTTACAGTCGCTGAGTTTTGAGAAGGGGTCGGTTCTGTTAACAACACAGGCACATGGGTCAGAGTTGAGCTGTCCTGCAGAAGTAGTATGTATTGTTGGGGTGTGGGTACCGTGTGCCTGGGAGCAGCCGCGGAAGCAGCAGCAAGTTCGGAGCGGAGAAGCCAGGCGTGAGTGCTGTGTGTGTGTGTGTGTGTGTGTCCGTCCGTCCGTGTGTCCATCCCCGTCTCCTGAAGCTCAGCCAGGAACACACACGTAGGCAGAGCCTGTCTGTTCCTTTGCAGCGAGACCTGCGATGGCTCCGACCCCCGCTTCCCCCCCCACTGGGCCTGCCCCCCTGAGCTGTAAGGGTACCTGGGGCTGGGCTGGGAGGCCCTTGGCCATGACCACCGGGCTAGGGATTGGGCTCCCCAAGACGTGCCACTGAACTCAGGAGCAGTGGGGCGGGTGCTGCGGCGGGGGGGCAAAACGCTGAGAAGCCTTCCCAGCTAAGCCGTTTTCCTGGTGTCGGGTGGTGCAGGGTCCCCATGGGGCTGGGGGTGAGCAGGACACACAGGGCGCCACCTCGTGGCCCAGTGCAGGAGCGCAGACGGAAGGGCAGGCACTGGACAGATGGACAGCGTGTGGGCTCCTGGGGGGATTCTCTGAGAGCCTGCTTGTGCAGCTGAGGGGAGGGGAGGTGCTAGCAGGGGAGTGGGAGCTCGGGGCAGCACGGTGGCCGGAAGGAAAGGCGGGGGCCGGGAGGGGAGCCACGAGGAGGCCTTGGAGGCCGCTGAGGGGTTGGGGTCCTAGGCTGACAGAGCGCGAGCCTTTGGGAACTTCCCTTTTCAAGGGACGCCTCTGGGGGAGGGGGGACATGGGGGTGGGAGGCTGGCGGCCTGGTCCAGCACCAGCGCAGCCAGAGACAGACCTGGTGGGAGGGAGGTAGAGTGAACTGGGCTGGGGTGATGTACCTGGAGAGAATCTGTGCTGTCCCATCACTGGAGGACTTTGGGACAAGGGTCTCCTGGGTCTCCTCCCTGTGAAAGTGGGCTCACGGCTCGCCCGGGACTTGGCTCAGCGTTGGGCGGAATGGCCAACGTTTCCACGAGGAAGAAGGGTCCCTTCCTTCACCACTCCCCCCTCGCCCCCCTGGAAGCGGGATGTCTTCTCTGCCTGGATTTCTGCAAACATCAAGGCCAGAGGCACTCTTGCCTCAGCCCCGGCTGACCTGGGAAGCCGGCCCGTGTGCCTTCCTGTCCCTCCGTGACCCCCCGGCCCCACATGACCCACGCGGCCTTTCCTCCCACACCACGGCCCCTCAGCCCCGGCGGCACTCACCTGCTCACGGGTTGTAGAGAGAGGCGGGCGAGCTCCACCTCGAATGTCACCTCGGGGAGTGACAGCAGGGACGGCTACTTGCTTGTGCCCACAGATTGCTTGATTCTGTTACCATGCGCGTGTTTTTCTTGTAGATTGTTTTTTTAAACTTCACGTCAGAAGCAAGGGCTGGGAATTGAAGCCCGTTTGTGCTGAATATTTGGGGGTAAAAGATTTCCTTCTCTGTAGTGAAAGGAGAGGAGACACAGATGGGCTGTGTGTGTGTGTGTGTGTGTTTACATGTGTGTCCCTGATCTTGTTAAGAGATTAAGTCAATCGAGTAATTCCCTGGACCAAGGAGTAATTGATGGTGATGGATCCCAGGGCCAGCCAGAGCCCCGAGGTAACAGGATTAGGCCCCGGACAGGCCCGGGGAGCCGCACTGACTTCATCCTGTTGTCATTTCCATGTGGGGAAATCAAGCCCATTCATCACGACTAACGTTTCCACAAAGGCCGTTTGGAAAGTGGTGGCCCAGGTGGCCGTGGCAGGGGCGCCGGTGCTGCCCGGGTGGGGGTGCATGTGGGGCCCCGGCAGCGCCCCGCGCGCGCTCGTCGCCACCCCGGTGCCAGGCCACACGGCTCGCCCGGGACTTGGCTCAGCGTTGGGCGGAATGGCCAACGTTTCCACGAGGAAGAAGGGAGCTTAAGACCGAGCTTGGCTCCTGGTGGCATTTCTGAAGATAGTCATTTCTATAGGTCCCGGGCCCGCCCTTGAGGGCCCCGGGTCCCCAGCGCGTGCGGGCTGCGACTCACGAGCTCCTTCTGCTTCTAGGAGGGCGGGTGAAGACCTGGAAGCGGCGCTGGTTCATCCTCACCGACAACTGCCTCTATTACTTTGAGTACACGACAGTAAGTACGGGGCGGGCTGCCGGGCCGGGCGCACGGCCCCTCGGGGGGCGCGGGCCTGAGCGAGGCTGGCCGTGCGCTCTTTCTCGCAGGACAAGGAGCCCAGGGGGATCATCCCCCTGGAAAACCTCAGCATCAGGGAGGTGGAGGACCCACGGAAACCGGTAAGCTGGCCTCCTCTTGCCGCCCCTGCCCTCCGGCGGCCGCAGCGCTCCGTGACGGCGCTCTGTCTGTCTCCGCCAGAACTGTTTCGAGCTTTATAACCCGAGCCATAAGGGCCAGGTCATCAAGGCCTGTAAAACCGAGGCGGACGGCCGGGTGGTGGAGGGGAACCACGTGGTGTACCGGATCTCCGCCCCGAGCCCCGAGGAGAAGGAGGAGTGGATGAAGTCCATCAGGTGTGCGCCCGGCCCCAGCTCAGAGCCCCGACGGCCCCGGGTCCTTCCTGTGCACGCGGTGCGGTGGGAGAGCGAGTGCGCGCGCGTGGGAGTGTGCACGCGTGGGAGCGTGTATGCCTGCGCGTGTGGGAGTGTGCCCGCCTGTGAGCGTGTACGCCTGCGCGTGTGGGAGTGCACACGCATCTGAGCGTGTGTGTAAGCCTGCGCGTGTGGGAGTGCACGCCTGTGAGCATGTACGCCTGCGTGTGTGGGAGGGCGTACACATGCGAGTGTGTGAGCCTTCCCGTGGGGGAGTGCGCAAGCGTGCGAGCGTGTACGCCTGCCCGTGTGGGAGTGCACACGCATCTGAGCGTGTACGCCTGCCCGTGTGCGAATGCGTACACATGCGAGTGTGTGAGCCTTCCCGTGGGGGAGTGCGCAAACGTGCGAGCGTGTACGCCTGCCCGTGTGGGAGTGCGTACACATGCGA